CCTGGGCCCTCGAATCGTCCTCTCCCCGGACGCTATGCGATGATCCGGAGGCCTGATCAGTATTGAGCGCCATCCGGGAACCGGCATCTATCGGGTTTTCGAGCCCGGGCATTCCATTGCTTCCTGTCTGCTGTTCAAGTTCGTTGTTGATTGATTGTGCCATTCTATGAGTTGGTAATTTGAATGTAAGATGGACTCTTTACAAAGAACCAGTGTATTGTGATGTGTCAAGAAAGAGTATCAAAGAGCTCACTAATATCCTTAGCCCCACGGTGGGCGCCAAACTGTTTACCCTGGAATCCGGATAACAATTGAATTTATATGGGGTTTTAAGGATCCGTGAACTAAAAGATACAAAAGGTTTAGGTTGAGGAAAATAAAGATAAAAACTCAACAATTGCTGTTAAAGTAAATAATCGCAGAATATAATATTGCTTAGAACAATTGTGCTTGATAGCGTACCAGAATTTAGAGAGATGGTACTGTAGTGTAATGGTTTTTTCCCGGTCCACTCTTTATGGGGTCTTCTCCCCTTTTATACATTCTGATTAAGGGTAAAAATAAGGTAGGTAAATTAATTACATCGTGGATCCCTGTAATTACGCCTTAATGGCCTGAAGTGGTTGAGAAAATCACGTTTGGGCGAGATATCCGGCGACGCTGGTTATCCGTTACGAGTCCGGCTTCCGACCTTGTGTGTTTCTCCATCCGGTGGTGACTCATATCGAGCTCTGCAACGGTCTCGAAATGACTCGACCTCGGTTGTAGACGTGGCCGTCGTTCTACCTTGCATCCAGGTCGGGTTCGATGGCCCCGACTTGCCCCGGACCGGACCCAACCCGGTCGGGCTCAAGCAAAAAAAGGGTGTCACCCAATACACAAGTCATAATGCCTGAAGTGAAGCTACTCATGGCCTCAAACTGCCGAACGATGAGCTAGAGCTCAAAATGACCGGTTGGGTCGTTACAAAATCTAATGCTTCAATCATTTCTTTATTCGCCATTGAAATTTCGTCCCATACTATTAGTTTTTCATCTCGAATCAATGATGCTAGTGAACTTTGTTTACTAATATTGCAACTAAAATTTCCATCAACATCAATAGGTATTTTAAATCGGGAATCAGCATGCAGTTCGGCCTCCAGGAAGAAGTGAAGCAACAACACCTGAACTCGCAGCCGCTAATGCTATAAATCCTCTATGTCTCACTGTAGCTAATCAAATCCACAAATACATGATAAAACCTCCAGAATTGACAAATTGGCTGATGAAAAAAGTAATTACTCCAACACATGTCTGGTTCAACGAATGAATTGCTGTGAAAATGAAAGGTCACGGCTTGAAAGAAGTGTTTACATTAAACCTAAATCTTAAAAGTTATCATTTGATAGATTACTAAAATAATCAAGTACAAACATAACAAAGAGGCAATGTTCTCACGAGTTTCCTGATAACTACTATAACTCGACCAAGCACAGTGTAGCTTTCCGATCCTTCTGCGTCAGCATTTCCCCCCGTGTCTTGTGAGAAGACAAAGTCAGTGCAAGTAATAACAAATTACAGGGTAAATTAAAATTCTGTTAACTTAAAAATTTTTGTGCCAGGGAAGTTTTAAACAATAGCAAAGATAATATATAGTAAGGTATGTTTTGGGTCAAGTCAGCAACTCAAGGTCTAATATATTTAGGCTAATGCTTGAGAAATGAATACAATTACAGTTAAATATAATAGAAGCACCAATAGATTCTACAAAAAAGGTGGCTCCAAAACTTGTTTGTGGAAAACCCTACACATAAAAATTCTAAGATCAAGGTAAGTTTCATTTTAGATTACCTCACACTGTTGCATGCTTTCTTTGATCATTCTATTTTTCGGAGGATGCCTTGACTACTGACTTTAGAAGTATGAGATGCAGAAGAAAAGGCAAAGATGAATCACCAAAATTTAAATGGAGGGCTTAGTAAGAAAGAAACATAAAAATCATCACCGCTTGCAATAGAATGCTTTAAATGGAGAAAAAAATTGTGTACATAAAAAAAAGACGTTCCAGGCTTGTAGCATTCCATTATAAAGGAAGCACCATAAAAGAGCTATTTAGATTTTCAATTTTTCCGGTATGGATACATTTATTTTCGAATTTTTCTTAGTATAATGTACTTTAATATTTTTAAGATCATCCACAAAGAACCCAGCAATCGAAGTGGACGAAGTTGAGCTAATATAAAATATTTAGGTCAATCAAAGCAAAACACGATGATTTCCCTTAATCTTGTGCGAAGTGAACGTGCAATCCAATTATTTTGTGATGTAGTTTAAATAATCATACTTAAACATTGTAAAAAGAAATGAAGGCTACCAACAACTTATGATGATGACTAAGCGATATTGCAAACAATACAATAACTACAATAAGGAAAGAAAACAGTAAGTAACAGCGGAACACCATAATAAAGCTCATAAAAGTGAATGAAAATACAACCCATATTCGAAATCACAAATACAGTAAGGACAAGTCATAACTTAGCAACTACGACAGCTTTCACATTAGGTCATAGCCAACAACTTCAATCAATTAGTCAAATCTTTCAGTTGATTAAAACATTTCGAATTATACTTCCTTCAAGTAAATATTTTACCAAACTAGTTCTCTAAAAATGGATACCTTTTGAATATAACCCTTTCAAATAAATATCCTTCGAATATAAGTCACCATGTGACACCTCATCTCATAATCATACAATACGGGTCTCAATACCTGACCCTAACACTTGGCATCCTGTGCCCTCATCACACCTCATAATCATACTGACAACTCACGTGGAGTCATTCTCACATGGAAGGGAAATAAACAAGGGTGTGCTTCTATACTCAAAAATCTCAAGGAGCCTCCTATCCGATAAGGGTGCTTAGCCACGTGTATGCTTTTGCAAGTGTCCTATCATAGTTCATACCAGCTAGTAAGCATAAGGACATAAACGGACAGCACATATACTGTTTACATAGGGATAGGATCAAGGAAAACAACAGCTCAGAACACAGAGATAGCAATAGGGGATCTCCCAGGATAACGTCCCGTAGTCCCAAACATAAATGTGCAGAGGATCTCCCGGGATAACATCCCGTAATCCCAAACATAAATGTGCAGAGGATCTCTCGGAATACCAATAGTAGTCCCAAAGTAAATATCCAGTACAAGGGGATCTCCCGGGATATCGTCCCGTAGTCCCAATTATAAAGGTGCAGGGGGATCTCCCGGAATATCGATCCGTAGTCCAAAAATAAATATCCAGTAGAGGGAGATCTCCCGGGATATCGTCCTGTAGTTCTAAATATAAAGGTGTAGGGGGATCTCCTGGAATACCGATCCGTAGTCCCAAAGTAAATACACAACAGCAACAATGACAATAATACAAAGTACGGCAAGTAAGTCTACTCAAGAACTGTAAATCACGAAGAAATGGTAGGACCAGCTAACAAGGAATAACCACAGAAAAGAATGTTGGCATAAAGTGAACAGTTCAACAAAGGGAAAACTAACATGTAGCGACGATCCCACAATACACAAGTCAATAACAAGGTAATCAATACGAGTCAAGCAGTCCCAACTAAGGCAAGTTAACAAAGATATGGGTTACCTAAACTCCTTTTTAAGTTTGAACAAATACGAGGATATCCGACAATTCAATTAAGGAAAGATGATCTTAGCTTCACTCAAGACTAAACAATTATAGGAGAAGATGATGATAAATTCCCAATTAAGACAAGAAGCTATGAAAAGATAGCATGACAATAGGAGAAGCGAAATACTTCATTTAAGTCAAATAGGAGTCGATTAGGAAATAAGGGTGAATCATGAAGCTATTAATTCCAATTAAGCATGTAGAGGTGAGACTAGTAAATAGGAAACTCAGTCATGTCAAGAACACATTCATACACAGTGAATATAAAGACCTAAGAACCCTAAAGGCCAATTTTTCACAAATAAGTCCGAGCACGCAGTCGTCAGCTCGCGTACACGAACTAAAGTCAACATAGAAGACTCAAATCCTAAGGGGAAATCCCCCACACAAGGTTAGGCAAGATACTTATCCTCGACTTACTCCAATTTAATCCACTAGTAGGCCTTTTTACTCGATTATCCAATTCTGAATGGCTCGAATCTAGCAAAAATAATTCGATACAGTTAACAAAATTTATAGAATCAATTTCATAAGAAAATACTACATTTTTCAATAAAAATTCGAAATTAACTCAAAATTCACCCATGGGGCCCACATCTCAGAATACGATGAAAGTTACGGAAGATGAAAGCCCATCCAATCACGAGTCTAACCATACCAAAATTACTAAATTCTGATAACAATTCGACCCCCAAATCCTCAAATCTATCCAATAGGGTTTTCAAACTTTTCCAACTTAAATCACAAATTAAATGCTAAAATTAGTAATAGATTCGAGTAATCTAACAAAAATTGAGTTAAGAACACTTACCCCGTTGCTTTCTTTGAAAATCCCTCGAATAATCGCCCCACCCGAGCTTCCTTGGTCCAAAAATGGAAGAATGGGACGAATTTGGACTTTACTCTGCTGCCCAGGGGTTCATTACCAGAAAATGGGTCTATGGGAACAGTAATTTTAGCAACGGTTCAAGAACCGTTGCCATAGATCATGTATGGTAACGGTTACAACTGTTACAGTAGCATCTAAGTGATACTAGCACACTTTAACTATAAAATCGTTGCAATAGTAAAATAACCGTTGCCATAGATTTATCTAAAGCAACGGTCATATAAACTGTCCCAATAAAACAATCTACTGGAACGCATCTTTAGTAAAAATAGCTATTTGAACGGTTATTTTTTTCCCTCTTTATTTCCCCCCTGAATTTTTGTTAACCCGCCAAATATCCCCTATTTATTTAGTTTTTTAATAATTTTAATAACCTAAATATTAAATAACAAAATATTTGTGTTATAGTTTTGTGTATACCCAACGCCGCGATATCCCCAATGCCACAACCTTCTTCTTCACTGGAAACCTTCTTCTTCTGCAAGAATCTTCTCCTTCCTCTTCAAAATCGCCGATTCCCCCATCTCCCTCTCTCTAAAAACTCCAATACCCCCATCCCTCTCTCCGATGCCCTGAAAAACCCTCAGTCCTCTTTTAATTTAGAGTTTTCTGAGGTTTAGTTTGATTGAGTGCAGAATGAATCTGAGAAACTAAGATTTTGTGCAAAGGGTTTGTATCCTTTGAAGGGCTTAGGTCAACTTGTTGTGCAAAGGTTACAAACGAAGATCGGAGAAACAATTTGAAGACCCAAATACTAAGGTAATAAGTTTTTTTTTGCGCTCATTGCACTTTCTGGTTCCAAATACTAAGGTAACAAGTTGAAGACCCAAATTCTCACTCCATCTTTCTTCTGTTTTTTCCTTCCCTCTTTCTGGCGAGTTTTCTTCTTGTTTGATTTTTGCTTGCTGATTTGGGTTCCATTGCAGATTTGCAGTGTGGGAACCAAATTCCGACTTCAAACAAAGATTCCTAAACTATTGTGTGCATGTAATGTTTTTACATTGCATTTCGGTAAATGTAAATTACTTTTCTATTTAATTAGTAATTCGTAGAGACGCGTGTACACTGAATATGTAGAACACCTATATTATCTTTTATTACCTACCCATAAATCACTCCCTATGATCGTCTCTCTCTCTTCAATTTTGAGATCATATATTCCCCTAATTACACAATGGTTTATTTAAGTGCTTTATGTTTTTCTCTTATACCATTTGATTTATATGTTCAATTATTTTTGCAGGTCTATTTTTTGGGTTAAACTTTGAGTGTGTTGATCAAATTTGATAATGGGTATTTGATGTTAGTTGTTGCTGTTGAGTAGTAGAAATTGTTCCCTCTTTCTTTTGGTGAAATTTGTTGGTATATCACACTTTTCTTACTGTAAGTTAGTTTTTTCTGTTCTTTTGGGTAGATTCTTGTTTATTCTCTACATGCATGTAAGAAATTTTTTTGATTTGCTCATTGCATGTATGGAAATGGACATCTAGGTGCATGATTTTTAAGTATTAGCTATACATCTATTGTTGTTTGTCGTCATGAAAATTAGTTTCATATTTTTTTTTCAATAATAAGATACATTGCTTCTTTCAGTTTGTGGCTAAGTGTTTGATAGTAAGCTATCCCGAAAAAGAATTCTTAGCTACCCATCAAGGTGTAATATTGGGTAAAGGAATAGAGAGATTGCAAAAGTGTCCCTGTTCTGAAATTTTTAATTTTAATAACTATGCTTCAAAAGCTAAATAATGCCCTTTATTCGAGATTGAAGTGTTGTCTTATTTCCTTCCCTGATTGACCTAAGTTAATCCATATACATAGGGGAGATTGATGAGCGAAGTATAGAAAAGAGAAAACATAACAGTGGGACAAATGGTCCATACTTGAATCTTTGTTAGGGTGCTTTAATCAAGAGATATCGTAATTACTCTCTACAGGACCTAAAATCCAGATACAAAACTAATGATAAAAAGGCGATAAACTGTCTACGAAAGTGTAAATAGATGAAAGGTTAATGGTTTTAGGGGAAAAACTTAATTATCAAAAGGTCCACTTTAGTTGGTGAAGAGAACGACCGTTTTTGATAAGATGATGAAGAGGTATAAACGGTATCGCTCCAAGCATCAAGAGGCGGCGGATCTATTCCGGCAAGATCCACAATTCCAGGTGTTCCGGGAAGGCCTCGAACAGAGGGAGGCACAATTGAGCCCCAGGGCGGCGGAGCTGGAGAAAATGGATGAGGAGTTGGTGAAGGCTGTGGCTCGTAATAGCAAGCTCGAATCACTCCTCAAACTGAGGGAGGAGGAGTTGGAGCTCAGCCGTGGAGTGGCAACGGAGGTAGCCGATCTTCACCGTAGGGTGGTGGCTTTGACAGCCGAGCTCGAAGCTAAGGCGGCTGAGATCGATGTCCTCAGGCGTACTGCCCCGCCACGTCCCGGGGACGCGACCCAAGATGCGCACGAGATGTGGGTATATGCGGAGGACAAATTGGACGTGTATAAAAAACTTCTTGTTGCGGGACGTGCCTCCGAGGAGGAAGTTCAGGAGCAGTGGCGTGAGGCTCGTGCCGCTCGTGTAGCTTGTAGGTACAGCTCCGACTCTCCTGACCGAGAGGGCTACACTTCGGAGGACGTCAACCGGCTCGAGTCCGACCCATGGTTTAATGAGACTTACCGTCTCGGTGGCGATGGTCGAGAAGGAGAGCAAGCGGATGGCGATGGTTAATCTGGCGAGGCTCCTTAAGATTTGTATAGGTTTTGCCTTTTTTCTTTTTGGAATGTAATGGGAGTCCTCCATGGGACTAAATGTACATAATTTTTGTCATAGTGAAAGAATTATACTTTTTGCTATTCTTTTGTGTCGTTCTTTGCTTATACATATTTTGTCACCGTCGAGCTTGGCTGGCACATCGGTTGTGACGGCTTTTGGCTCGCAGGATGTAACTTCGACTGTCATTGAAGTGTTATTCGTCGTCGTCGATCGTGGTCGACGATCATTGGCGATGGCCTTTGGCCCATAGGATGCAACTTCAACTGTTGTTGAAGCGTTATCCGTCGTCGTCGAGCGGGGTCGATGATCATTAGTGATGGCCTTTGGCCCATAGGATGTAACTTCAACTGTCGTTGAAGTGCTATCCGTCATCGTGGAGCGGGGTCGACGATCATTGGCGATGGCCTTTGGCCCAGAGGATGTAACTTCAACTGTTGTTGAAGTGTTATCCGTCGTTGTCAAGTGGGGTCGACGATCATTGGCGATGGCTTTGGCCCATAGGATGTAACTTCAACTGTCGTTGAAGTGTTATTCGTCGTCGTCGATCGTGGTCAGCGATCATTGGCGATGGCCTTTGGCCCATAGGATGTAACTTCAACTGTCGTTGAAGCGTTATCCGTCGTCGTCGAGCGGGGTCGACGATCATTGGCGATGGCCTTTGGCCCAGAGGATGTAACTTCATTTGTCGTTGAAGTGTTATCCGTCGCCGTCGAGTGGGGTCGACGATCATTGGCGATGGCCTTTGGCCCATAGGATGGAGTTGGTGGCCTTAGCCGCTTACATAATGGAGAAAGTGGCCTTAGCCGCTTACATAATGGAGAAGGTGGCCTTAGCCGCTTACATAATGGAGAAGGTGGCCTTAGCCGCTTACATAATGGAGACTCAACTAGGCTAGTTCCTTTATTATATCGGCCTGGAGAATGCGTCGACCGGCCGGTATGATAAACCTGTCTCCATACGCCCCTGGGTGTCCCCTTCGCCGCCTCGTTAAAAACCTCCCCGAGAAAACCCAATTGGGACAAAACTCAGGTAAGGGAAAAAGAGTACGACTCGGGAGACGCCCCGTAAAAATGGAAGTACTTGAGGGGCGATGCTCCAGTTGTTCTGGAGTATTTTTCCCTCTATTGTTTCCAACTAGAATGCTCCTTTGCCTGCATCTGCTGTTATTTTATATGGCCCTCTCCAATTGGTGCCCAGTTTCCCTTCGCTTGGGTCTTTTGACGCCAAAGTTTTGGCTTTGAGGACGTAGTCGCCTACTTTGAGCGGTCGTATTTTAGCTTTTCTGTTGTAATACCTTTCGACCTGTTGCTTTTGAGCCGTCATTCTTATGTGGGCCATATCCCTTTGTTCTTCTGCCTCGTCGAGGTCTTGAAGCCTACCTATGTCGTTGTCTGCTCCGCTGGTATGTGAATATCTCAGGCTCGGTTCTCTGATTTCGACTGGTATAACCGCGTCGGTTCCGTAGACCAGTGAGTACAGTGTTTCTGCTGTACTGGATTTGGGCGTTGTTCGGTATGCCCATAGTACCTCTGGTAGTAATTCGGGCCAGATTCCTTTGGCGTCTTCGAGTTTCTTCTTTAGTATGTTTAATATTGTTTTGTTGGAGGATTCTGCTTGGCCGTTGGCGGCAGGGTGATATGGCGTGGAGAGTATCCGTTTGATGTGCCATTTGTCAAAGAACTCCGTTATCTTTTTGCCGATGAATTGGGGGCCGTTATCGCAGCTGATTTCTTTGGGGATGCCGAAACGGCATATGATGTTTTTCCATATGAAGGCGATGACTTCTTGTTCGCGTATTTGGGCGTACGCACCTACTTCTACCCACTTGGAGAAATAGTCAGTCAGAACTAACAGAAATCGTACCTTTCCTCGTCCTGCTGGTAGGGGACCGATTATGTCCATCCCCCATTTGATGAAGGGCCAAGGTGATGTTACTGAGTGTAGGGGCTCTCCCGGTTGATGTATCATAGGGGCGTACTTTTGGCACTTCTCGCACCTACGAACGTACTCCGCTGCCTCCTTTTTCATTGTGGGCCAGTAGTACCCGGCTCGGATGATGCAACGGACGAGAGCGCGATTGCCGGTATGTGCGCCACAGTGGCCCTCGTGTACCTCTTCGAGTACTTGCCTTGTTTGGTGTGGCCCCAAGCACTTAGCGAGGGGTCCGCCAAACGTTCTTTTGTACAGATCGTGACTTATTAGGCAGTATCGGGCAGCTTGTACGCGGAGCTTTTTGGCTGTTTTTTTGTCGAGCGGGAGTGTCCCGTCCTGCAGATAGGAGATAAACTGGTTGCGCCAGTCCCAAGTTAGATTTAAAGAGAGTACCTCAGTGTGATCTATGGCTGAATGGAGGAGGGTGACTATGTTTCCCTTGTTGATGTTTTTGGTGGCTGCAGCTAATTTGGCTAGGCCGTCTGCTTCGATGTTCTGCGCCCTCGGGATTTGTTCCAGGCGGCATTCGTCGAATTCGGGCATCAACTTGTGAATTTCTGATTGATATTTCTACAGTCTCTGTTCCTTGATCTGGTAAGTCCCGGTGACCTGGTTTACCACGAGTTGAGAATCGCAATGGAGGATGAGTCGTCGGGCTCCGTACTTGATGGCCAACTTCATACCTGCAATCACAGCCTCGTATTCGGCCTCGTTGTTAGTCATCTCGGGGCATCGTATGGACTGACGAATTATTTTGCCCGTGGGGACCTCGAGTACGAGTCCCAGTCCCGATCCCGAGGCGTTGGAAGCGTTGTCAGTGTAGAGGGTCCAGAGGTCGGTACTAGGAGTGGCACGAATGGCCTCTAGTTCCGCTTCCGGGAGAATCTCTGTACTGAAATCGGCGACAAAATCTGCAAGTACCTGCGACTTGATGGCGTTTCTCGGGTGATAGGATGTGTCGTGCTCGCTGAGATCTATGGCCCATCTGGTGAGCCTGCCCGATAGCTCGGGCTTGTGTAGGATGCTTCTCAGGGGGAAGGTCGTTATAACTTTTATTGGATGACACTGAAAGTAGGGTCTAAGCTTTCGTGAAGCTACGACCAGTGCCAGAGCCAGCCTTTCGATGTGTTGATACCGTATTTCGGCGTCCACTAGGGTTTTGCTGATATAGTAAATAAAGAGACTGCGTACCTTTGTTTTCACGGGCCAGGACTGCGCTGACGGCGACTTCGGACACTGCCAGGTATACTAGCAAGGGTTTGCCAGGGTTTGCTTTAACTAGCAATGGTGGCGAAGACAGGTATTCTTTCAATTTTTTTAAAGCCTCGGCGCATTCCTCGTTCCATTGTAGTCTGTGATCTTTTCTCAATACGTTAAAAAATTTATGGCACCTGTCGGAGGATCGCGGGATGAACCTGGATAGGGCGGCTATTCGTCCTGTCAGCTTTTGCAAGGTCTCGGGTATTGCGTCTATCGCCTTGATCTGGTCAGGATTGACTTCGATACCTCGTTGTGATACGAGGACACCCAAGAACTTTCCTGATGCTACACCGAAGGCGCATTTTTCTAGGTTTAATTTCATCCCATACTGTCGTAGTATCTTAAAGGCTTCTTTCAGATGGTAGAGGTGGTCTTCTTTGTTTGCCGACTTTACCAGCATATCGTTGATGTAGACCTCCATGGTCTTGCCAAGCTGTTCCTTGAACATTCTGGTAACTAGCCTCTGATACGTCGCCCCTACGTTTTTGAGTTCGAAGGGCATCACCTTGTAGCAATACGTTCCCTGGTGGGTGATAAAAGTTGTCTTTTCTTGGTCCTCCTCGGACATCATGATCTGGTTGTAGCC